ACGTCAACGTCCGGACGGCCGCCGGGACGGCTCTGCATGAGGCGGCGCTGTGCGGCAAGGTCGAGGTCGTTCGGACTCTGCTCGACGGCGGTGTCGACCTGGGCATTCGTAACTCAGAGCACAGCACAGTGATGGACCTTCTGGGGCAGTTTCCGGCCCACGTCACGCACGATATCACTGCCATCATAAAAAGTACGTACCGAAACGTCCTATTATAAGGATCAGGTGTTTTGGGGGGGGGGCGGTCATGACGCACTCTGGAAAAAATAAGAATTCGTACAAGATTTTTGGTTGGAAATTAATGAAGGGATAGAGATGATTGTCTTCAGGGATTTTGCGCCGTGTACTCTGATAGATGTTGACCGACGTTTCAGGAGTACCCGCTGCCTCCATCATTGGGGCGTCAGGGAGGCAGATAGGCTTGTCCTATACGGGAGGAACTTGGTTTGAATCTCTCCCCAGGCTTCGCTGTCCCAACTGCAATTTTTTCTAATTTTTTCTCACTTTTTTAAACAAATTTTTAGGATTATCCTTTAAGTAGAGTCTCATCGCTTCATTCAGTGACTTTAAAAATCATCATTTACCAGCATTAACTGCAAAAGCTACATAACCTACGCAGTTGATAAAGCGTGTTAGCAAACTACGGAACATGTGACTTCCTGGGGAGTTTAATATTGTTATTGTAGGGGGGGCAGTAAGGACCTCTTTAAGTATTCTTAAACACCATCTGATGGCCATTTTGAAACAAATTTTCGTAGCTTGGAGAATGTTCTAAGGATGACGTAGGACAGTAGTTATTCTTATGGACACGAGGTGGACGACCAACGTGTTCCTGAGCCGGGACTCCCAGCAAAATAATGGTAAAAACACAGTCTGTATACGAGACGAAAGTCATTGTCAATTTGGACAAGTTGTGTTCGTTAATTTACGGCTCAGCTGTGCCCATTTTCGTGTTTAGATTGTGTAGTTACATGTATATCGATTATATCGTATCGCAGCTTCTGTTCGAACAATGCGATCTCGTACAATTATCGATTTATTACATAATTAATTTCCATTCAGCGCTGTGACCTTTTGGATGTCAGCAATGACGACATCTGTTGTCCATTAGGTGATAGGACGTAAGAATTAACTCGTAAGCATGAAAATACATAGAAGTCGACTCTTCGACTGAAGTGGATCGTTTCTCTCGTAGTTTACCAGTTTTAACGCTCAGTTTTGCTGCTAGACTATAACCCCAAGTGAAGAATGCTTGCATTTGTATGTCTGTTAATTACAAACTATAAACTGGGGCCTATAATTCATTTCCGTCTAAATTTCTTACCTCGCCTTTGTGTATAAGTCTGTGCCTCTTAATTACCGCAAAGAGTATCAAGCCTCGGGGTCTACCTCGGCGATGAGAGACAGTATGGACCCTGAAGACCGGGACGGTGTTGGGAATCCGTTACCTCCGATCCCTGTACCTGACTCCACTTTGGGAAGTCCGTACGAAAACGTGCGACTGGTCAGAGGCGGTGGACGGCTAGCACTTCCTGGGGCAGGCGGTGGTCCGGACTCCTCGTCGCCCAGCACTTCCCCGACCCACTGGGAGTTCTACCACAGTGCCAAGGCGCGACAGTTCAGCAGTGGAGACCCCATGTCAGTGTGAGTAGTGCGCCGAAGACGTCGGAGCGGCGTGTGCCAGGGTGGAGGGGTTTACGACGAGAAAGATGCAAGTTCGCGGGAAGTGAACAACTTTCGGGTCGTCCTCACAGATGAGGGCTTTTTTTTTTTTCGTAAGATGTCTGCAGACATGATTAGAATTTTGCAATTGAGATGTGAATTTAAAACCTTATGTTTTGCAGAATTACAGGTAGCGTAAAGTATGAAGAAACAATTGTATCACGTCAGAAGTTTTTTTTTAATGATTCCGCTCCATCCTGGCATCGACTGCGTACTCCATTTCAAATGAGATCTATTGTCTTCATGGCGATAAACGTAATGTTGATGTGATATCGTATGTTGTAAACAGCGTTTTAGGGGAACCGGCTACCTTCGTCTTTAGGGTAGAAGTTTACCTGAGTTTGTCAGGCATTACTTATATTAAGATCAAAAAATGTTCTGCTGTCTGTGCCAGGCTTAAAACTAGCTTCTTTTTTATTCATCGATAGAATATCGTAACAACGACCACGCCCACATAAACATGTAGGCCTTAGGATCGACAGGTGTTGGACTCAGCCCACCAGAAACGTTTAAATTCTGCACCCCAGACGCGAAACTGCCGTGAACATTTGAAGGTTCCGTCGCGAATAGCGTGTGTTTGTAAGTTATTGAACTGTAAACTAGAAAATAACTAGAAATCTAGAACAGGATTACAAAATTCGCGGGTAGGCCAGCGAAAAAATGGAAGGTTTTTCCGTCCTCCGTTTTGAAATTTCACTCGTCAGGGACCGGCGCTGGGCTGTTTTTGTAGATTCCAATGTTAACCTTTCTCTATTTTTCACAAAGTTGAATGCATACGAGAATTTTCAAGTACCCGCGGCAACTTAATTGATCAGGAAATGTATCGAGTTTTATAAGTGGTACTTAATAAAAAGCCCAACTTAGTAACGACAGACAAAGCAATTGCTTAGTGTGTCGTGTAACGCCCGCTTTACGTTCTGGAGTAGGCTTCAAGAATTTTCACTTCTCTGATAATTTATTGAAGACTTTACAAAGTTGATAAATAATCCAGGGTTTTGAACTTCGTTCAGCCTTTTACGGTACAGTGACTTGAAAAGTGAAGTCATTCGAGAAGCAAAGTTGAGTATTTTATAAGTTTAAGCATTGACGCTTATTCCAGGAACGGTGGTTCTGATATAGATCGGGTTTATCGTAAGAAATACCACTTCACAAATATTTATAATATGATATTTGTTTGTTAATCTAATTTACACAATTCCTTTAAATTTTGGTTCTTTTTTATAATAATATGTCTGTATGTCCTCTTAACGTGTTCCATATCAACCCTTTAAAACGTAATGGTAATTATATGTACCACCTGCTTAAACAATCCGTGATTTTGCATTTTGCTTGTAGTGTATTTACGGGTTCCATACGATGTATAAAATAAACATCGATTATTCTTTACTTAAACAGCGTTAACCAGTTGATCTTTGGTAATGGTGAAGTGTGGTGTTTACTTCGCGGTACGGCCTGAATTCTTAAATACTGTAGAGACTAGCTTGTGCTTCAAAGGATTGAGCTATGTTTTTCTGTAATCACCTGTCCCGTCCCATGGAATGATCGATCCAAGATGGACACCGATCAACATTTCCCTTTACGAGTAACAGTGAAATCTCTGGATCAGATAGGAATCACATTCGTACTATGGTTTTATCCTGTATTTCAGTGATAATTTGTAAACTTAGTACATTTAATCGTATCTGGGTTTTCTTTTCCTATACCAGAGTCTTTATTAGAGTCCACCAGAGTTCAGGGATTGTTTTTCGTTGTCAAAGAAAAATGGCACAAATGATCATATTCTTTATGTATTTCGCAGTCATCGTAATTTCCTTATATCTATATTCTTTAAGCGTGTCTAACTATGATGTCGCAGTTTAGTGGTTAACATTCGTGCTTGGAAAGTCCGGGGTTAAAATCTCGGCTTGAGGACTTACTATCCTGACTGAGACCTTGTCGTGGTTTTCTCCAGTTCCTGTAGGCAAATGCCTGTACAGTGCCTCAGGTTAGACCCCGATCGCTTCCTTCCTTATCCCTTCCTGTTCATCATTCTGTCACTCCACTCGATGTAGTCTGAGCTACTGACGGCGTCGTTAAATAACTCACAGATTAAATATGTTGACGTGCGTCTAATTCCTTAGAGCGAGGTTGGGATTCGGTGTTTCTGTACGGAGAAGTTTTGTAATTTGTATTGTTGTGCGATGAAGCTTATCGAATGTTGGCGCGTTTTCAGGAACTGTAGGGCAGTTGTTTGCGGAAATCTGCTGTTGGTCGGATTATTATTATTATATATTGAGGGGTAAAGCTCATTAAAAATGTCGTTTCGTCCTTTAAGCTCGTCTCTCAACACAAAACAAACTTATTCTCAGACATTCTTTTACCTTCGTTAACTAAGGAATATTGTTACCCCGCTTTCCGGCCCCCCCCCCCAACATCATTTTTTGTAGTTCATTTCCGCTTATTATTGTCTGGGGTTACAATGACAATGGTTCGTTGCTTCTGTAGTGTCTTGTTGTATGAGTTTCTTTCTGGATTGAAGAGAGACGTAGATTCAACAATTAAAATGAGCAAAACTGGTTTCAGATTTTTATTGTTACCGCAAATAAAACTCGCATTTTACAAATTCAGATTGCGCGTTCCTTGTCTCAGGATCTTCTGTGGAATTTTATGCTCACAGAATTTG